GGACGGAGCAGCAGCTGCTGCCGCCGTGTCCAGGCATTGTGTGGCAGCTTGGGGGATACCCCAGCAGCGTGGGAATCTCGCCAGCCCAAACACGCAGCCTGGCTAATTCCTATGCACTTGCAAACAAACACCCGGCACTACCGAACCACTGAGAGTACGCGGCAGCAGCGGCGGCGGCGGTGGAGGCGGTGGCCCCCCCGCTGGCTCACAGCCAACCCCAGCGACGCTCAGCCGACGGTGGCCCTTTAATAGCGACGGCTTGTTACGTGTGCGCGTCCCTGCAGCAGCAGCAGCAACCAAACAGTCAGTCAGAGTCCGAGCACAGCTGCATGTGCTAGCATCGTATTATCGGTGGTAGGTATGGGGTTTACACGGCGTATGCAGCACGTCAACACCAACACCACTACAGCGTGGCGATTTCACGCCGCAATTTCGCGCCGCTGCGATGCATGTTACGTGGATGGGTGAGAGGGAGGGGTGGATGTGGAGGTGGAGGGGTAGAGGGGAAGGGGGAGGAGTAGAGGGGGGAGGGGGAGAGCGGAAAGGGGAGAAGGAGGTAGAGGTAGGAGGTTGTACAATTATATTTTCCTGTGAAGCAATGCATGTTACGTGGATGGGTGAGAGGGAGGGGTGGAGGAGTAGAGGGGAAGGGGGAGGAGTAGAGGGGGAGGGGGAGCGCGGGAAGGAGGTAGATGTAGAAGGTTGTACAATTATATTTTCCTGTGAAGCAATGCATGTTGCGTGGGTGGGTGATGGGGAGGGGGAGAGGAGGAGGGGTTGTATATATTTGCCTGTGAATGCGGTGGGTGTGTACGGGGGACGCGGGGGCGGGGGGGGAGTTTTCAGAGCAGCGCGGGAGCGTTTAGAATGAGCCCGCGTTATACGCGCTCAGTCGCCGCGAGGGTTATAAACGAATTAGGGTCGTAGAGAGGAGAGCAAGCGAGCGAGAGAGGGAGAGAGAGAGAGAGCGAGGGAAGAGATAGAGAGAGAGAGAGAGAGAGAGAGAGAGAGAGAGAGA